CCCGAGCCCCCTGGCCGCGCTTTGCACGGAGAGCTCCAGAACACAGCCGCATTGTCGAGAGAGCTGGAGCGGCAGCATCGAAAGCAATACACTCGCCCAGCGCGCTGCGTGACGCAGTACTGCGTCACCGACAAGACTGCCTTGGGCAACACCTCCAGCTTGACGCCTTCCTCCACGTCGCGTCGGCTGGGTGTCGCCGAGCAACCAGCACTGGCGCCCCAGAAGACCAAGCCGTCGAGGGTGAGGCGGTGCCGTTCCCAGCACGCACGCAAGGCAGCTCCGCCACGTGGCCCTTGGCGCAGCGGCCGGCTTCCAGGTTGCTACGCCGCCCGCGCCGAGACACCCGCCCGCTCTCGACGTCCCGCGCCGTCGCGTGCGCGGCGATCTTGAGGATGGTCAGTTCTTCGGGCCCCAAAGCCGCCGAAGTCGGCGATGGCGGCCCAGACCCTCATTCAGATATGCGCCCCAACTGCTGGACGCGCAGCAGGTCGCCGCCGGCCCGCGCCCGTAGAGCCCCTTGACGACGTAGGTCGAGTCGCAGTGGACGACCAGAGGCGGCATCGAGTGCCGCACCGCCAGCAGGATAGCCAGCAGCTCACCCCCGTCCACGCCCTGGATCAGGCCCCGCAGCCCAGCTGCCAACGCCTTGCAGGCCGAGCGGGGCCCAGGGTCGGCCCACTCGGGCCCTGGCGGCAGGGCGATGGCCGCGCATCCAGCCACGGTCAGCTCGGCTGGCTCCGCGTCGAAGGCGGAGCCGTCCACGAGCACCTCGCCGCCGAGGAACGGGTCGCCGCTGCCGACCAGCCAGCGAGCGTCGTGCAGGACGTCGCCGCAGCGGGGCGTCCCGTGGTGCCGCGGCCCGGCCAGGAGCAGCCTGCCCACGTCGCTGCCGCCGTGCGCCTGCAGCTCCGCCATGACCGCGGGCAGGGCGGGGCCCTCCCAGCCGTCGCGGCACGCGACGTTCGGGGGGGAAGAACGGGGGGATAGCAAAGGGTAGGGCAGAGAACCAGCTCACGCAGCTGCTGCTCCCCGCGCCTCCCGGCGCCGGGAGGCGCCCATGCATCGCGGAAGGGGCCCGGCGGCGGGGCCGAAACCAGCTGCCTGCAGCAGATTTCATACCACCCCCCTTTCCTTCGGGCCGGGCCATGGCCGTGGGCAGGTCGAGGCCCTCCCCGCCGTCGGCGGCACGCGGCGTGCCGGTGCCAGAGCGTGCCAGGCGCGGCCGCGCACCGCGAGCACAGGGGGGCTCCGTCGTGCGAGGCACGGCCGCGCTGCGTGCCTGCGCTCACGGAGCCACTGCCCAACGCACCTCTGCTGCTGTGCATCATTCTCGGCCTGGGATGCTGCACCTACTGGGATCTGCTGGTGGGTCTCTCGCTCTCTTCGGCGGTCGGAGAGCCAGGGGGTGGCATGCACTTCACTACATCTCGCTGTTGCGCTGCTGCCGCACGGCTCGGATCAACCCGCCTCGGGAGAGCGGGCAGTGGCAGAAGGCCATACCATTCAACAACTGCTTGGCCACATGGTTTTCACGTTTTCCGAATCATCGTGCGTAGTACCACGGAGATGCCGCGTCTACTTCGTTGTTTCAGGCGTTTGGGTTGCATGCCGGCGCAGCTGTGTGGTACCAGTCTGGGGCTAGGTGGATTGGGAGTTCTTCGTTTTTTGCTGTCGTAGCACGTTCTTGTGGCTGGTGTGGAGAAGAAAAGAACTCGTGTTTTTGTTGTGGACGACAGTGTTCATGCGGGGAAGTACTCATTCGAGGTACCAAGCAAGCAATTATCTTGGTTTCTTTGTCTTGACAGTCGTGCACTTGTTGCTCGACTCCATCTTCCCATGCATTGCAGCTCGTCTTCACCGGCGTCGTCGTGTGTGTATGTCGAGGGTTGAGGCGCCAGAGGATGGCGCTCGCTCGTTGTGACGCTTCGCGTCTGTTCCGACTCCGATTGCGAATCCGATTCCGTCTCCTCCTCCTCCTCCTCCTCCTCCTCCCCCTCCCCCTCCCCCTCCTTCTCCTCCTCCTCCTTCATTTTGTACTCCTCCTCGCCTCCTCCTCCTCCTCCTCCTCCTCCTCCTCCTCCTCCTCCTCCTCCTCCTCCTCCCCCTCCTCCTTCTCCTCCTCCTTCTCCTCCTCCTCAGCAGCAGCATCATCGTCTATCCCTCCTTTTTCTCCTCCTCCCCACAAAGATTCATCGACCTGCTTGACCCCCGCAAACAAAAAACTAAGCGGCCCAACCATTGCGATGCGCGTGGCGGCTACTGATAGGACCGTTCCGTGGAAAAAAAACACATTGAAAAGTCTGCGGCACTCGTGAACGCTTCGAGAAAACGCATCGGACTACGCCAACACTTCACGCAAATAGCGACCGTTCAGTAGTTGGCAACCCCCCAAGGAGTCGCGAGGTCTCGTGTAGGTCCGCGTACACCTCCGCTCTTCTCGACCTCCCAGGAGCCAACGAAAGTGGCGACGGTTGCGCATGTGGCCGCCCCCCCGAGGAACCGCGATGTCTCGTCTGAGTCAGCGTGTTCTCTCGATCTGCTGGACCTCCCAGAGCCCGCGAAAGTGGAAATATTTGCACAGTTGGCACCCCCCCCCCAAGAAGCAGCGAGATCTCGAGAACCGCGAGGTCTCGTCTAGGTCTGCGTGGCACTCCACTCCGCTGGACCTCCCAAGAACTCCAGAAAACTGCAACGGTTGCGCAGTTGGCGGCCACCCCAAGTCTGCATGGCACTCCACTCCGCTCGACCTCCCAGGAGCTCCCGATGGTGGCGACAGCTGCGCAGTTGGCCGCCCCCTGGGAGCCGCGAGGCCTCGTCTGGGCCTGCGTGGCACTCCACCCCGCCAAACCTGCCAGCAACGCCACGGAAGCGGCGACGGCTGCGCAGGGTGGAAGCCCTCTGCATTCTGAGGAGGCCCACCCCCTCCGTAGGGGGCCACAGACGAGCCCTGCCCCTACCCCCCACGATTTCGGAAGGGCAGAGTGGGGTTCACTTCGCTCGGGAGCTCCCGAGCGAAGCGAATCCCACCCCCCCCTTCAAGATCGCGGGGAGGAGGAGGAGGAGGAGGAGGAGGAGGAGGAGGAGGAGGAAGAGAGGAGGGAGAGGAGAGGAGGAGGAGGAGGAGGAGGAGGAGGAGGAGGAGGGAGGAGGAGGAGGTGAGGAGGAGGAGGAGGAGGAGGAGGAGGAGGAGGAAGGAGGAGGAGGGGAGGAGGAGGAGGAGGAGGAGGAGGAGGAGGAGGAGGGGGGGTAGGGGTAGGGCGCTCGCATGTGGCCCCCTCTGCTCCCTCCCCATGGGGCACGCCGCCGACTCGCGCAGAGCGGCGCCCAGAGCTCTCCGCGAGGGCGCGCCCCGCCCAGAACTGCTCGAGGAGAGAGCCCAACGAGGGCGACTGCAGCGGCCGCCAAGAAGGCAGACAGACAGCCAGACAGACAGACAGACAGGCAGACAGGCAGACAGACAGACCGACACACAGACAGGCAGGCAGGCAGACAGACAGACCGACACACAGACAGACAGACAGGCAGACAGACAGACAGACAGACAGACAGACAGACAGACAGACAGACACACAGACAGACAGGCAGACAGGCAGACAGACAGACAGACCGACAGACAGACAGGCAGGCAGACAGACACAGACAGACAGACACAGACAGACAGACAGGCAGACAGACAGACAGACAGACACACGAACAAACGAAAACGTCCTCGCGTCCTCGGACTTCGACCCTCGAGAAGCCAACCCTCTCCTCTCGGCCACCCAGCCACGGGAAGCCCACGAGCACGCCCGACGGTGGCCCGAGCACGCCGCTGGGTGGCCCGCGAACGCCACCCGGCAGCCCAACACACGCCATCGGGCAGCCCAGGCACGCCGTCCGGACTGATCTGTCCAAGGCCCCAGGACCTCCGACGACTCGACGTGTTCGAGCCTCGGGCCCCCAGCTCTCTCGGCCCTCTCACTGCGACTGGTTCCTCGTGCCGCGTCGACGTTTGACAGGCCCGAGGTCGGCCTCAGGACGCCGAGGGTGCAGAAAAAAGCCTGGCCCTGCAGCCGACAAGATGGCCAAGGAAATCATCATATGGGAAACCTGGGCCATCTTCCTGGAGGCTTCTTGAAACAAACCTGGGGCAGTTTTTTTGGTCGACGCTGCAAGGGGCGAACGCCCCTGCAGCCGACAAGATGGCTAAGGAAATCATCATATGGGAAACCTGGGCCATCTTCCTGGAGGCTTCTTGAAACAAACCTGGGGCAGTTTTTTTGGTCGACGCTGCGGGGGGCGAACGC